CTACTACATGAACAAGTGAAAAGCAATGGGAAATGAAAAAATTCAGGATTTTTGTTTTGTTTTGGACTTTATTAAACAAGACCGTTTCCCCGACAACGGCGCCAAAAACTTGACCAGGCTAAACTTGCAAGTGTACAAGTGCCGATATAGTAATAAATTCCGGTAAAATACCGGGTCGAATCCACAAGGAAACGTTGTTTAATTCAAGTCCGAGAGTAGATAACTTTAAATGAAGAATTGAATAAAGTGCAGGGATTTTGATTTGTGTTTTATATTTTTGGTTTTTTTCACTTTTTGTTCAACAAGATAATTGTTAACTAACTTCGAGTTCAAGATAAATGATAACAACAACTAAGGCTTCGGGAATCACTTAAATGCTTAAATAGGGTTGAATATTAGTTCTTTGCCAATAATTATGAATACGATATCGCTAATATATTCTCAACTCCGGTTAAGGCAGCGAGAGCGTGGTTTTCGTTACGTGTAAGTCCCGTTACGGCTTACATTCATCTACCGAAAACCCCGTTGAATATCAAGACATCACACCCGTATCATATAAGACCGGATATATTTCTATTCTCGGTACTATATATGTTTATCCTTTAGTGTTCATAGTTTAGACTTCAACGTTAATTGCAAGTATAAAGTAAATTTAACATACTTCTATGTTGTACACCATAGTCATAAACAATCAATATATAAAGGATAAATCACAATTTATTGGTTTAGAACTTTTATCAAACACCTAGTGGGCATAGAAGTTCATCCCTAGCCTTAGCTAAGAAATTAGCCTCTAATGCTCATATTAATCACAATACAATAATAAATGTAATGGAACATGAAATTACAAAGGAAATAATACCTAAACACCAATGATTTCGGAGGATGAACTTCCCTCCTCAAGAACTTGAAGAAAATACTAAGAACAAAAATATAAAAGCTAAGAATTAATCTATGGAATGGAATGTCTTTGTATGATGAATTGAGGGCTTTATATAGGCTAAAGAATGACATATTTTAGTCTATTCGAACCCAACAATCAGGTGTGGAGCAATATTTGATCAAGAAATGAGGAAGATGACCTTTTCCCATCAAAAATCCTCTTGCACGTTGGCCTGTTTTGTGCAGAAATCGCCCCAACCGGCCCCGGTTGTGTCCCGACCGGCGCCGGTTCAAAACAGGCTGTATTATGGTCGAAAAATAACACCTGACCGGCGCCGGTTGTGGATGACCAGCGCCGGTTGCTGCGCCAAAAAGTGTACTCCTTTCTCTTTCCCTTTTATGGACCAAAACGTGTTTGTTTTTGTACCGGGATTTTGGGGATGTTCCGCTACGAATTTGGACATCCTTCCTTTACCTAAAGTTGTAGATAATGAAGTCTTCTATCCAATAAAACTTGAATGACGTGATTTTATTCATCCAATCAACAGATATGGATAAAACACTGAGCGGTATGCATCCTGAAATCCCACCAGCAACATCTGAATTTATCGGTTGATTGAGTCTTGTTGCTTTCATATCCTGGCCATGACGTCTTCATAACATTTGTACCTTATTGAGTTAACATTCACATGAAATTCGAATCGAGTGATTTCGAGTTCTATACAATAATTTATACTCGAATGATGCGCAAAACGTCATCCTTTTGGTCCCAAAAGCCGTTCATCACAATGTTTTATGCTCTAACTCTCATTCTCAAGATATTTTCCCAATTTCTCTTCTTTTATTCAACACATACTTATAAATACTTATGTTAAACACAAGTAAATATAACGGCTATCAATTGCCATTAGGCCCTCGGCTGACACATCCCACCAGTTGTATAAAGTAGCTGGCCTTCGCCATATGTCCCAAGGGGAACCGGTGTTGTGGACCTAGCCAAATTTTGAGTGATGACATGAGTGTGCCCTCACCTTGTAGTAGTCTTAGGAAAAGTTTTCCTTAGCAAAGGATGGTGATGTCGGGGGCCCTAAGTAATGGACTTGGAGAATTTTGTATTGGGTATGCAACCAGCAGCCTCCGGTGCTGACTGTGGTGCCTTCGGAGAAGTTTGCATTGGGCCTACAACCAGCAGCCTCCGGTGCTGACTGTGATGCCTTCGGTAAGGCCGGAGGATGTAGTAGTGATAGTCAAACTTAGCCCATTCCTAGAATAGGAGCCTCTGGTGATGTTGGATTCCAAAGTGTGGACTTAGGAATTCTTGAGTCCAATGTATTATAGCGCTGAGAGCTGTTGAAATGCCGGAGGCTGTTAGAGCTTGGACTTAGCCAAGTTTTGGCCATATGTGTTGAATAAGGGCCAATGCCAAAGGTGACTTCCTGAATAAGAGCCATCAGGTATCGGAGGTGTTCCCCAGGGGAGCCTTCGGTATAATCTGTAATGCCTTGTGAGGAGCATTGTTGGTAGCCGCCGTCGGGTGTTTTGTTGTGAATGTTGAAACTTGTACTCATTGATTGCTAGTTGAGTCTACTCCCCTTCACCCTTTTTTGGATAGTGAAGGGAAGGCGTCAAGAAACTTGGTTTCTTGGTAAGGCTTGGCCAATTGGGAGGCAACGGTATACACCATTGGCTCCCCTCTCGGGATTAACCTTCCGGGTTCTGAGGGGATCGAGGGTCGTTTCCTTGGCACGAGACATAGTCTGTTATCTGCCTCCCCTTGGGGGATGGCACGGAAAGTGCCTCAGTGTTGAAAGTCGTTCCCTCAGTACGAGACATGGTCCGTTGCCTGCCATTCCCTTGAGGTTAGAGCGCGGGAAGCATTTCGTTTTTGAAAGTCGAATTCTGGGCATATTAGTTGCCTGTCATTCCCTTGGGGTAATGGCGCGGAAAGCGTTTCAGGGAAGGGTTTTGATTGCATATTAGTTGCAAAAGGCCGGGGTACTTGGTACCTCCGGCACCGTTAGGTGGGGCCTTCAGCAGAGTTGCGTCCTCGAGGGGTACGACTTTATTTTTAACACTTAGTGTTATTTCTCGTACAATGCCCCCGGTACTTGGTACCGAGGGGTCGCCTTCAAAAACACTTGGTGTTTTATCTTCGTGGCTGATTGGAGCATCCACCCTAGGCACTTGGTGCCGGGGGGTCTTGTGAGAAGGCCTTGGGCTAGGAGCTTGCATGAGGGCTTGGCCGCTCATGCACGTTGTGTACTTGATACTTTTGGTGTTTTCAACATGCATTCATTCTTGAAAAATAGGAGGCCTTGGGCCGTTGGATAATACATTGGTAAGTCATGAGGGCTTGGCCTCTCATACGTTACTGATAAAATTTTACCAGGTGGTGTACATTCCAGTGTCTAGGGACCTCGGTCCCATTGGGGCGTTTGAGCTTGTACGTTCCTAGTTTGATGATGGTTGTGACGATGTAGGGCCCTTCAAACTTTGGGGCCATCTTTTCGCCTTCGGTGGGTTAATTAGCTTCCCTCATTCAGAGGACGTAATCCCCCACCTGGAACTCTCGGGACCGGACCTTTGCATCAATGTAGCCTTTTACCTGTCTTCGGTAGTTCTCCGACCTTAGGAAGGCTTGCTCTCAGCATTCTGAGATCAGGTGAAGGTCGAGGGCCATGTTGGCGTCGTTGACCTCAGGTTCATATTGGTCTACCCTTCGGGTAGGAAGGGTCACCTCAGTTGGAGCTTTGGCCTCGAATTCGTAGCAAAGGGAGAAGGGCGTTTCGCCTATTGCCCGTCGAGGGGTGGTGCGGTAGGCCCATAGTATGTTGTGGAGCTCTTCTACCCAACCTCCCCTTCGGCCTCCAGTTTCTTCTTTAGGCCCTCAAGCAGAGTCCGGTTGGCGTTCTCTACTTGCTCGTTGCCCTGGGCGTAGACAACCGATGAAAACGTATGTTTGATGCCCCATGCCTCTAGGAGGGCACAGAAGGGGGCTGCCTCAAACTGAGTCTCGTTATCGGAGATGATTTGTTGGGGGACGCCAAATCTCGTGAGGATATTTTTGAGGACAAAATGGCGGCACCTGGCCTCGGTAATGCTGGCGAGGGGTTCAGCCTCCACCCATTTGGTGAAGTAGTCGATGGCCACAATGATGTACCTTTTGTTGGAGGTACCCCTAGGAAGTGGGTCTACAAGGTCAATGCCCCACCTGGAGAAGGGTATTGTTGTGCTGATCGGGGCATAGTTAACTGTTGGCCTCCCAGGGGCCTTCTGAAAATGCTGGCAGGCGGTGCACCTTCGAGCGAGGTCGGCACAATCTCGGGCCATCATGGGCCAGAAGTAACCCTGAACTATGAGCCTTCGGGACATGGAGAAGGGTCCCTGCTGAGCTGAACAAGTGCCACTGTGCACTTCCTCCATTGCAACTTCGGCTTCATCTTGATGAAGGCACTGGAGTAACGTGCCGTTGTAGGATCGTTTGTTAAGCCTCCCGCCTTCGATGGTGTAGCTGGGAGCCCTTAGCTTTGCCAGATTTGCGCGGGTTTCATCCTCGAGAAGGTGCCCTGTGGAGATGAAGTTCATGATGTCTGAAATCCAGTCCTCAGGCCTTTGTTGTATGTTCATGACGGGGCTGGCGTGTATGTTTGAGAGGCTGAGTTCCTCGATTCTCGCAATCTTCGAGAGGTGCTCTGGGGACTCAGCTGAGAGCTTTGCTAAAATGTCAGCCTCGGAGTTTTGAGCTCTCGGTATTTGAGTAAGAGAGTGCGCTTCAAATACCTTAAACAACTCTTTGGCCGCCTCCTTGTACTGTTTCATCCTTCCTTCCTTGGCCTCGTATTCTCCTGAGATTTGGCCGACGACCAACTTGGAGTCGCACTTCACATTGATCTGGTTGGCCTTCATGTTAGCTGCCAGCTGAAGGCCACAGAGGAGGGCCTCATACTCTGCTTCGTTGTTAGAGACTTTAAAGGAAAAACGGAGGCATTGTCACGCCCCGGACCTAGCCGGACACGTCAACAACCCGCCGTACAGTACGAATAGTCAACCGCAGTCCAACTCATCCATACTATACAAGGCGTCATGAATACCATTCACACATAGTACATCCATAAACAAACATAATGTAAAACATGCATTTAAAACAGCGGAAGCATTTAATAAAGATGTCTTAGCCACACTTTGGCAACATGGGCATACAAGCCCCCAAATAATTATTCAAAAATAATATCCATGAGCATTGTTATAATTGTTTTGAAAACAGGAAACAGAAGAAGCACGAACCACGTCTTCTCCCTTGAAAATCCCCGAAGCAACGGGCGCCGGTAGCAACCTTCAAGTTCTACCTGAAACTGTGAGGTGGCCTCCCCCGTGAAGGGGAGGTCAGTACTTGGAAATATTTGACAAGTACAATAGCAACTATACTAAGTATAATCAACGTCTTAATTTCCAAGACCCCCAACTTAGGGTACTATTATATTATAGGCCATAACCCTCGGTTACCCTTTTTACCTTTAACTGTACTTACTTTACATAAAGTCAAGTAGTCGGCCCGTAGGCCCATATTCATTTAGAATTCACCGTTTCCATTCCCCCGTGACCGCAAGTCACGATAACCCCGTGGGGCCCCATCGAGCCTCAATTGTATAGCATGGGCTCCGCCCAACTACATCTCTATACAATCCTCTAACTCGATATATCATATCAAAATTTGTATGGCAAGGGCTCGGCCCAACTACGTTTCCACGGAGGTCACATATACATGGAAAGGGCTCGGCCCAACTACGTTTCCATGCTAATCATATTACATGGCATGGGCTCGGCCCAACTACATCTCCATGTCATCCTAGAGTCCAACTCTAATTATTTTCATAATCAAATTCTCAAGCAAGTCCTATGCCTAGAATCAATTTCCGGAGGTGGCCTTTAGGCCTACCCCTATCACACCTTAGTGTTCATACCGTTCATCCTTAAGTATCTCTTGAGACTACTTAAGGCGTATCTATTCACAATCCTACCTCTTAGGATTTGTTTCATCATTTATTTATATTAATTCCCCGACTAGTATTTTGATACTAATTGGATAATCTTAGAACATGCCAAGTTCCTATTTCCTAATTTGCATTTCATTTCCATTGATTTCTCAACCCAAGTATAGTTTGATCTCAATATCAAAAATATCACTTTAATCCATTCATGAATTTTATACATGACGTAAAGTATATTTTATCACAATGTCATCATAGTAATTCCATTAACATGCCGTTCCATTCATTTCACATAATCATACACAATTATTCTAAATTTGTATATCATGCTTCACTTACTCATATCCGTATTATTTTCATTTAGGCATTATTAATCATTAAAAATCCATGAAAATCCCATCTAATTACTTTAGGCATTCTTATGAAATTAACTCACTAATTATAAGCAATATAGTCAGCCATCCTCACCTCGTGATGTGCTACAATAGTTGCCTTTGTTACGCCCCTCGATCAATCCCCGTTCTAGGCCGATTGAAAGACAAAACTGGACTGCCTGGGCAAAAGCCGGGCGGCTTTCACGAAAGCCGGGCGGCTTTCGTGTTCTGCAGAAACGGGCAGCTCCCTTAAAGTGGCGGTTTCCGGCGATTTCGACTCTTATCGATTCACCAACTCTTCTCAGTTAAATATCACCACTTTATATCAATATTCTACACTTTTATACGTGTAGGACATCATGTTTAATCCACCATATGATTTCTCAAAAAATCATACACAAAAACTAGTTACAAGAACTATTTGAGTTCTTACCTTAATTCCTAGCCTTTTTGGGTTGGATTTCCTTTGCTCCTTGCTTCCTCCAAGCTATGAGCTTTGTGAGGGTCTTCTCCTGAGCTCCTCTCCTTGCCTTGGTCATATGATTGAGGGTGAGAAATGATAGGAGACAACTCTCCTCAATCAAATGGGGAGTTATTGTGTAGGACATGGGGTTTGGCCTCAATCCATCCCCTCTACCTATAGTCCGACCCCCAGCCCCCTTTCTTTGTCTCTTCCAGCTCCCATTCAGTCAATTGGAGCACACAAAAACGTGGGGTGGCCCCCACTTTGGTGGGAGGTCATCCCGTTATGTCCCGGTGTGTACAATCGGCCCCGAAAGTTGTATTTTTCGGACTACTTTAGTCATATTTTATTTTGTCGGACCAAATAAAATATATCACGCGTTCCCAATAAGTATGGGCCTTTAGAATAGATGTATATTCCCCAACATTAATTTAGGGGTCTCCGAAACTCATTTCGGGCTGTTATCCGTTAAATTTCCAATACCAGTAATTGGGCCTCGTTTGACCAACCGGTCAACTCCATGCCTTTCCTATGGCCCAAATAAAATATCCACAACCATATATATGTCATCTAGACCAAGATGAATATAATATGTGGTTCGGGAATTATCGGGCGGCCCCCGCTCTCGCTGTGGGCCCCACATGCAGTTTACTATTCACGTAAAAGAAATAATAAAATTTAACAATTACGTAAATTCATAAATCATCTTTCAAGGTTTATTACATAATTTACTAAAAGTAAATATGCTTGGGGACGGTGCTACAAGTTCACCCCCCCTTAACGGGAATTTCGTCCCCGAAATTCACAATCGATTATTCAAACAGAAATGCATACTGCTCCTTCATCGAGGCTTCAGTCTCCCAAGTTTCTTCTTCAACTCGGTCGCTTTTCCAAAGGATGTTAACCATTGGGACTTTCTTGCTTCTTAGCTTTTTTACTTGTCTATCAAGTATCCTTACCGGTTGCACGGCGTAGTTCAAGTCTTCCCGTATTTCCACGGGTGGTTTCTCTAGTACATGAGATGGATCCGGAATATACTTCTTAAGCATAGACACATGGAATACATTATGTATTTTCTCCAATTCCGGAGTCAACTGCAATCGGTATGCTACGGCCCCAATTCTCTCAAGAATTACAAATGGCCCTATGTAGCGTGGGTTGAGTTTCCCTCGGCTCTGGAATCGGATGATTCCTTTCCAAGGTGAAACTTTCAAAAATACCTCATCACCAACCTTAAACTCTAAGGCTCTTCGGCGCTTATCGGCATAGCTCTTCTGTCTATCCTGTGCCGCCTTAAGTCTGTCGCGAATCATTTTTACCTTTGACTTGGTGATTTCCACCAGTTCCGTGCTCTCGAGTTTGGCCATGCCAACCTCGTCCCAACACAAAGGTGTACGACATCTCCTCCCATACAATGCCTCGTATGGAGGCATGCCTATACTCGCCTGATAACTGTTGTTATAGGCAAACTCCACAAGTGCCAAATGGTTGTCCCAACTCCCTTGGAACTCCAATGCACAAGCTCTCAGTATATCCTCTAATATCTGTATAACCCGCTCGGATTGCCCATCCGTTTGTGGATGAAAAGCTGTACTGAATTTCAGTTTTGTCCCCATAGATTCTTGGAACTTCGGCCAAAATCGTGATGTGAATCGCGGATCTCTATCGGATACAATGGTTATAGGAACCCCATGTAACCTCACGATCTCATCCACATACAACTTGGCTAACCTTTCCAGTGCATAGGTGGTGTTGATAGGTAGAAAGTGTGCACTCTTCGTGAGCCTATCAACCACAACCCATACTGCGTCATAGTTCTTAATCGTCCGTGGCAGTCTTACCACGAAATCCATAGTCACGTGTTCCCATTTCCATTCAGGAATGGATAATGGCTGTAACAACCCAGCTGGATGCTGATGTTCTGCCTTAACTTGCTGACAAGTAAGACACCTACTGATGTACTCGGCTATTTCCCTCTTCATACCCGACCACCAGTAGCTCTCCTTCAAATCACGGTACATCTTCGTGCCTCCCGAGTGCATGGCATACGCCGATGAATGAGCCTCCTCTAAGATGGACTTTCGGAGCTCATCATCCAACGGTACACACACTCGGTCACGAAACAATAAGAGACCATCGTCTCTTTCCCTGAAATCCTCAACCGGTCCCGCTAGCATGTGTTCTCGGACCTTCATGAGCTCCTCATCAGCTTCTTGACCCTTCTTGATCTCATCAAGTAATGTAGGTCTCACCTCGAATCTAGCTAACAAAGCACTGTCACTAGATACCTCCAATCGGGCTCTCAATGCCCTCAAACTCGTCAACAATGCCCCAGACGAATTCTTTCGGCTCAGGGCATCCGCTACTAGATGGTAGCCTTTTACCGGGGTGGTACTCGATAACTAGATGGTAGCCTTTTATCAACTCCATCCACCGTCTCTGTCTCATGTTTAACTCTTTCTGAGTAAACACGTATTTCAGGCTTTTGTGGTCAGTGTATATATGACATGTTTCCACGTAGAGATAATGTCTCCAAATCATCAATGCGAACACCACCGCCCCCAGCTCTAAGTCATGAGTGGGATAATTTACCTCATGCTTCTTCAATTGTCGTGAAGCATAGGCAATCACCCTCCCATTCTGCATCAAGACACACCCAAGCCCTTGGATGCTTGCGTCGTTGTAGACATCGTACCCCACACCCTGTTTGGGTAGTGCGAGTACCGGTGCCTCGGTCAATCTCTTCTTCAGTTCAAGGAATCCCTTCTCACATCGGTCATCCCATACAAACTTGGCCCCCTTTCGAGTGAGCTTTGTCAATGGCGATGCCAAAACTGAGAACCTCTCCACAAATTTTCGGTAGTACCCCACCAATCCAAGGAAGCTACGAATTTCCTTGACGTTCTTTGGCCTCTCCCATTCAGTAATGGCATCAATCTTCTTGTTATCTACGGCAATCCCTGATCCTGAAACCACATGCCCGAGAAAACCAATCTCCCTTAGCCAAAATTCACATTTGGAAAACTTGGCATAGAGTTGCTTCTCCCGTAGTGTCTCAAGAACAAGTATCAAGTGCTCTTTATGCTCTTCTTCACTCTTAGAGTAAATCAAGATATCATCTATGAACACAATCACAAATCGGTCCAAGTATTTATGAAATACTCGGTTCATCAAGTCCATAAATGCCGCCGGGGCGTTGGTTAGCCCGAATGACATAACTAGGAACTCGAAATGACCATACCTTGTGCGGAATGCACTCTTCGGTATGTCATCCTCCTTTATCTTCAGTTGGTGGTATTCCGACCTCAAGTCAATCTTCGAAAACACCGTCGCTCCTCGGAGCTGATCAAACAAGTCATCAATCCTAGGCAAGGGATACCTATTCTTGATTGTGACCTTGTTCAGTTGACGATAGTCAATGCACATTCGAAATGTTCCATCTTTCTTTTTCACGAAAAGGACCGGTGCTCCCCACGGAGAGTGACTCGGCCTTATGAAACCGTTATCCAATAGCTCTTGCAATTGGGTTTTCAACTCGTTAAGTTCAGCGGGTGCCATTCTGTATGGCGGTATAGAGATTGGTTTGGTGCCGGGTTCAACCTCGATCACGAACTCAATCTCCCTATCGGGTGGAAGTCCCGGCAAGTCTTTTGGGAAGACGTCCGGATACTTGCACACTACTCTCACATCATTGATGTCTATCTCTTCTTTGGTTTTGTCCACCACATACGCTAGGTATGCGTGGCATCCCTTTCTCATCATATTCCTCGCCCTCACGGCGGATATGATACAACTGTTTGATTTGCCTCTATCTCCCTCGAAGCGTAAGGTCAACCCTTCACCGCCTTCGAGTTCAAGAATCTTCGTGTAGCAATCGACCCTAGCATGATGTTTCTCAAGCCAATCCATCCCGAGGATTGCATCAAACTCGATCATACTCAGCGGTACGAAATCACACGTCAAGTTCTGTCCCTCCACCTCCACCTCACACGATGGATAGTGGCTATCTCTCTCGATATCATCCCCTAGAGGCGTGGACACCAATAGGGTTTGAGTCATCGGTACAAGTGGTCCGTTGAATCCGCTGGCGAACGCCTCACTCACAAATGATCGTTGCGCCCCGGTATCAATAAGGATCCTTGTGTCTCTCCCGTTTATCTTTAGTGTTCCTACATTCATAAGTAATGTATAACACATTATCTAATTAATAGGCTTGTTTCTTAAGTCGTAGAGTATGTTGGTCGCGGTTCGGGTGGGGTCCGTTTGACACCCGTCCGAAAATTCCCCGGTTTCTAACCTTTAGAACCGCTCTAGGACGAACCCAGGTGAAAGCCGGCCGCTTTTCACGAAAGCCGGCCGGTTTTCGTCTGCGAGAAAAATTCTCATATGAAAATCACGAAAGCCGGCCGGTTTTCGTCGCTGCAGTTTTGTTCAGGAAATGGTCTCAAAGCCGGCCGGGTTTCAGCAGCGCAGGAATCCCTAGGCCCGACGAAAGCCGGGCGGCTTTCGCCAAAGCCGGGCGGCTTTCAGCTGCGAGAAATTTCCCCAGGTCAGGCATTTATGAAAGCCGGCCGGTCTTTACAAAAGCCGGCCGGTTTTTAGTTGCGAGAAATTTCCAGATTAAATGTTGACGAAAGTCGGGCGGTTTTTGGTGGAAACCGGCCGGCATTCATCGCCGTGGTGTTTTCCCAATAAATCAAGACGAAAGCCGGGCGGCTTTCGTCAAATGCCGGGCGGCATTCGCCCAGGGCGGGGATTCTTCCTCCCCTTTCCCCTACAATCCCGACCAAACCGTCGGGGTTACAATTTTTGCACATTACAAGCACTCCTATTGCATACAATGGAGTTAATCACATGAGTTTAGGATCTTACCCGCCACGGAGTCCGGGTTAGCACGTGCGTCCGCCTCCGTCATCGCATAGACCCTAGCATGGGTCTTGCCTTGGTTCACGGATGGCGCGTTACTTGTACTTGGCCCTCCGTGCGCCGTGCTCGCGTGAACTGCCCCTGCTCGGTTCCTACTTGCCGTAGTTCCGCTGCTAGCTCCTGCACCCGTGGCTCGCCCGAGTTGTGGGCAGTTTGATCTCAAGTGCCCCGTCTCCCCGCATTGGTAGCACCTAGGGGGATCGCGGCACTTGCCCGCGTGGTTCCTCTTGCAGTTGTTGCACCTGCTAATGCCCGAGCCTTGCGACCTCGAGCTTTGCCCTCCTGGGCCTTGATTTCCCCTAGATGGTGGTGCGGGCATTCTGAAAGACCCACCTCCCCCGTGGTTCCCCTTCTTGCTAGAACCTTGGGGGCCGGTGTTCTCCCATTTCCTCTTCTTCGCCTCCTCGGCGTTTTTCAGTTTTCTCTCTTCCCATTCTTTCTCCCCTTTCAGGCCCTACTCCACCACTTGACTAAACGTCATGTTAGGCAATTGCGTTGCCCGCTCACGCACGTCTAAATCCAAAGCATCCCAAAAGTGATTCACCATCCGGTTCTCATCACAAGCATACTTCGGTATGAACTCCGCGAGCTCCCTGAACTTGTGCTCAAGTTGCCTCACGGTATACTTGCCTCCTTGGGTCAAGTTGGTGTATTCTCTCCTCTTCAAGTTCACCTCGAAGTCGGAGTAGTATTGGTTGAAGAATTCCTGTCGGAAATTCTCCCAAGTTACGGCCTCACCGTACTTCCCCTTGACACCGTCCCACCATGTGGACGCCATCCCTTCTAGCAACCTCGTTGCTACTCTCATCTTCATGTTTGGCGGCAGCTGCATATCAAGGGCCGCTTCATTGAACCTCTTGATCCACTCCGCCGCAACGGATATATATCCCGTTCCATCGAACGGTTTACACCCCAAATCTCTTGCTTCTTTGAGGTACTTCGAGATCCTTATTATCGGAACCTCGACACCTCGATCTACTCGGGACTCCACATGTCCCCTAGAACCCGCGTGGCTTCCCCTTCTTGAAGCCCCTCCCAAAGCACGCCTTGCCCGGCGCCTTTGGCGATCTTGCTCAAATTGACAGAGTAGTTCCTCCATCCTTTCTAGAGCGTCGTCATCGTCGCTCCCCTCGCTGTCCTCATCATACTCCCCATCATATGGGGTCTCAACCGGCTCAGTTCCCGGTCGATACGTCGAATCCTCCTCGGACTCATAGGACTCGTTCTCGTTGACCGTTTCCACATAACTGTCACTCACGGTCCGATCTTGGCCTCCACGGCCCTGTCCTCTGGACACCCTAGAATCCCCTCTACTGCCTTGCACGGATCCTCCACGGCCCTGTCCTCTGGACACCCTAGAATCCCCTAGACATTAAGACTCAAGATTTTGTGTTTCATGCTAAAAGTTCTAGTATCCCAAGACCTTATGTGATTCATTTGTACTTCTATAATTGACCGATGAGGAATCTTGCTTACCAAAGCCTCAATTCGTTCCTTTTCATCCGTTCTTGAAGGTCGATGATCAGAAGTAAGAGCTTCTCCAATGCCACTATTGCTCACAACAGCTCGACAATCCCCAGCATTGGAAACCACAAGATTGTTGTTATTAATAAATGCTGTAACACAGCAAGATCCACCTTGCAGATCTTGTTTCAAGAATTCGGTATCTGTTTTCAAGTAACCATTCTTCACCGCCTCCTTAATTTCATCATCATCGCCACTGCTCTTTTCTATTTCATCCCAGATGTTCTTGGCCAAGTTTTGTGATGCATACTCAGCCGCACTTGCTCCTCCATGCCCATCAAATACACCAAAAACAGCCTGAAAGTTACACCGAATCAGATTAGACCTTCCTACGCTTCCATCTTATCCCAATGAGTACGAGATCCGAATGAAATTTTAATTATAGTATAATTCAATTTTTTCTGAAGAAATGCAAAAAAATACCAAGGAAATTGCTCCAACTAGGAGAAAAGCATGAGAATTTTGCACATGGGCCAAAAGTGATAATCTTATATTCTTATGTGAAATATATGATCATATTTTGAAAACAACAACATTATCATACATTATTGGTTCAAAGATCTCACTTTTATTAGGCAAATGTTGGAGATTCTAGTCAGTACTTAGTGTTATGGTAAATGGCATACTTGTTCAAAGTTTCAAGCTATATGTACTACATTCACATTAAAAACTGCCCAATTAACTCAATAAAGTATACTGATACAACCCTAATATTGGAAAAGCACGAGCTATTAACTCCAAAATCATCTAAGCTGAGCGTACCTGCTTATAATCTCCACGGAGATTGACCATAGCCGAGTACCGATCTTCTATAGCCCTTCTTCTCTTCCCGCGTTTACAGCACACCGAGTACCCATCTCCCTCAAACTCCACCAGATCTTCTCCCATAACAGAACCTGCGTCCGGACAGTCCCCAAAGGTCACCGTAACGCTGGGGATATCCAACCTCGCCGGCCGGTTTCGCTTCCAAACCGTGGAGGAGGTCGAAGAGGAACAGTCAGGAGTAGAAGGTCGAATCAATCCGCTGGGATGCGGCTTCGAGGCACGAAGAATCCGCAAAGGTGAAGACGGAGACGGAGACGTCACGGATGAAGGAGAGAGTGAGCGGGTCAGAGCCTCCGGCGAAGAGGAAGATGCGGCGGCGGCGGCGGCTTTGCAGTGGACTGAAATTCTGGAAGGCGAGAAGACTGGTGAGCTAATCGCAACGGTACATGCCATGTATCCGTTCCTTCTGTTTTGGGTTTCGGGGGAAGCTATAATGAATTTTAACGTTCGGAATTTTAACGTTATTTGATTTGTTTCGGAAATGTTTTTGTGAATGGAGAAAAAACTCAAAAAGGGGTTTTATTTATACTTTTGTAGTTTGAGAAGAAGAAGAGGGGGAAATGAGTCAATTGAAAATTCAGTTAGGGTTGGGGTCAAAGTGGGGCCACCCCGTGTGTTCTCCATGTAATGGATCTTTCCATGGGCATGCATTTGACACTGAACTATGGGTTGGGTATAATACAACACGTTTATAAGAGTAGGGCGACTTCAAGGAAAAGAGAGGAGACCTTCTTAGAGAATTGTTTGGGTTAGAGGACATGTTGCTGCTGATTTTGACATGTATTAATTACTATGTAAAAACATTCGATGGAAAAGTTGTGCTTTTTGTGATCTCATTATGACATGTGTGCTGATCTCATGTAAAAGAATGAAGGCGGGTTAAAGGGTCATCACTGTCGAAATTACTTCAAATAGGATTAAAACTATGGCAAAAAACTCAAAATAGGATTTGCTATGTTTTTATTCCAACATAAGACCATATTACTCCTATTGGAAACATATCTATTTTTCATTTTCATTTTTACCCCTCCTTTAAATATGAATAAAAGGTAGTCAAAAAATTGCTTTAATAGGAAAGTGACAAATTTTTTTGGGACAATCAAAAAAGGAAAATTGGTAAAGTCCAATGGGATGGAGGGAGTAAAAAATATGGATGCATTTCCCACCGCCCGTACTGCCTCCCTGCACCACCACCTCCGACCGGTGTAAAAATGTCATTTTTTCTGAAAATACCAAAAAATGGCATATTACTACTCCCTCCGTCCCTTAAAACTTTGTCATCTTTCCTTTTTGGGACGTCCCAAAAAACTTTGCCATTTTCCCTTTTAATCAATTATTTTGTGGTTTCTGTTATTTCTCTCTCCTCTACACAAACATCAACCACACAGTTTTTACTTTATTATTCTCCGTGCCGGTCAACTTTGGCAAAGTTTTAAGGGACGGATGTAGTATTTGTGAATGCAAAAATTTTCATTGAATCTTCCGTAAATATGGCATTCGTAACAGATGTGGCATTTTTTCCCCTAATGACCGGAGGTGGTGGTGTTGGGGCGGTAGAGGCGGTGGTGATTTTTTTTTTGCGTTTTTTATTTTTTAAATTTTTTAAATTTTCTTTAAAAAATATAATTATTATTATTTAAATATTGTTATTAGTTTTTAATATTTTTATGAATTTTTTTTATTTTTATTATTTTATTATGAATTAAAACATTTCAATAGCAACAAGAGTATATTTGTCCAACACACACAGAATTAGTCCTATTTTTTTCCTATTTGTACAAAGTGACCAGCTTTTAATCTTATTTTGACAATTAACCCTTATCACTACAATATAAAACCGTTTCTTACGCGTTTAGTTACGGGCAGCTTTGTAAGAATTCCTCGATAACAGACTTGGTCGAGGAAAAAATATGTGACACCAAAGGAATGTCAAAATTAAACGTCTTTGTGGTGCCACTTCGAGGCACGGAGAATCTTCAAAGGTGGATCGGCCCAATACCCCTGTGGAGGAATGAAACCAGAAACCCGCTACGGCCCCAGGCTTGGGCGGCTCGACCCGGGTGGCACACGCCGCATGACACCGTGGAAGTAGCATTGAGTGATCCCGTATTGGCAACCAGGGAACTCTTGGCAAGCAGGCTCGATTTAGATGGTGGGAAAGCAAGGATTTTGGTAAGAAACACATTTAATGCATGATATATGCAAGAATTTATGGTTGGGGATTAACCATTCAAGATCCTCCACAGTCCACATCACCACTACCACCTACCCCATAAATAGTACTCCCTCTGACACACAAAATTTGGCCAAAATTGACTTGCACGTAGATTAATAAAGTAAAAATCGTGTGGTTGAAATTTGCGCAGAGGATGGAGAAATAGTTTTAACCACATATTTCTTACTATAAATGGAAATGACAAAGTTTTTTTGGACGGCCAAAAAGGGAAAATTTGTCATGTTTTATGGGACAGAGGGAGTAGCATTTATTTCATTGTTAAGGTTGGCAACTTGTATTCTCTAGTTTTACTCTTTCTCTCTACTTCTTCTGTAATAACAGATTAGATTGGAGACGTAGCGCTCGGCTCGATAGGGTGTACTATAATCGCTCTAAGTACTTAATACTACCTCCGTCCCTTAAAACTTTGCCAAAGTTGACCGGCACGGAGAATAATAAAGTAAAAACTGTGTGGTTGAGTTTTGTGCAGAGGAGAGAGAAATAACAGAAACCACAAAATAATTGATTAAAAGGGAAAGTGGCAAAATTTTTTGGGACGTCCCAAAAAGGAAAGATAGCAAAGTTTTAAGGGACGGAGGGAGTAGAACTCAACCCACTTAATTCCTTCTTGCAAGAACTTATGTCTTAAAATAGTTAACTAATCCACTAAAATATATCCAACCCACCAAATTCTCTTACGAAAGCTCAAGGAAAAGTGTTTGGGCCTTGGTCGTGGAGGAATAAACTTAAATGATCGCGCCGTTTGTGGGAATTCTTTGAACAAAAATATCCCGAGCAAGCTCTCGTTCTAAGCAGCACCTTACGAACTCAAGCAATTCAAACAAGCGAAAATGGTCAAATTCTCGTCCGAGCACACTCGAGATCTGTCAGAGCAATTGCGCAACAACAGGAGGTCGTAGACTCTGAGCTCTGTGGAGCCAACTGGCAGCAAATGGCCACACCAGGAAGATCAAGGAGACGTCACCCATATGATTCCGGCTGAGGCCTGAAGGTCAAAAGAGACCCACAACTCCCAAGGGAACTCGCTATCATCATGTGATGTATGATTGACCAGAATGGCGCAGAGCAAATTGTTTACTCCGTAGAAACTGAGTGTACCCTCATCTCCTATTCGACATATGCAGTCATTTGGGGATAACACAGGGGGATTCGAGCCTCTCGTACCTCAATTTATACGAGGATCGACGGAATGTCGGGTTCTGGGGAATTCCTCTCCAAATTTGTGATACGGTGGAGAGATGAAACATTGAAGGTAGAGGACCTCATAGAGTGCATGGGGATTACATTCTTCACCAGTGCGCTCTTGACAAGGGACCTTTACCGTGATATGAAAAGAGATCTAGGGACCCGCTATGTTAAGGTGTTGGCTCGCACACGGAGGTATGCAGCCATTGAAGAAAAGATTGTCTTAATGCACAGGGCACTGACGCCCACCCCTCGCAAATTAGTGGATAGACTGGGAACGGCCCCGTGGATGCCTCAGCTGTCAAGCAGAAAAAGTCGCACGGTGGATACCCCTTCTTCACCCCACTCACACACCCATCGCTAAGGTATATGAAGAAATCAAGGACCAGGGGATCATTGCCCCTACTTACACGAGCATGAAAATGGACAACTGGGAAGCCTATTGCCAGCATCATAGGTGCAATAGACATACCAATGATGAGTGCAAAGGCCTTAAGATCTCCATCAAGGACCTAATCCATAGGGGCACCTCTGTGAATATATATATATATAGAGAGAGAGGGGGGGAGATCTTCCTGTTCGGAATTTTGGACAGGAACCGCCGTCTGGACGACGGCGTTTGGCAGCCTTCCCGGTAGAATTTTTTGATGAAATTTTTATGGAATTTTCTTCATCAAGTCTAGTTTATCCACAAAACAATTCAGCTAAAAATTCAATCGGGAAGGTCGTAAAATAATTTTTGGAAGTGGGGGTCGCCTGCACGGATCTACAGACGGCTAGGTCATGCTACATGGAGGCCGTGAAGAAGAAAAATGCTCTCAACATGTAGGTAACTAACATTACTGAGTCTTCTCAGCATGCTGACCTCAGAGCCCACTCGTAACCAGCCACATTGTTGGAAGAAGATGAGCTTGATGACCCCTCGGATGGAAAAGTATCAATTGGTGTCGATCTCGAGCTAGAGATTCTTGAGTGAGTGATTCCGATCCTCCTCAAGTATAAGGTCATGTTCACTTGGGCCCTGGAGGATATGCTCGATATTGACCCAGAGATCATTTGCCACAGGTTGGCTGTTCGGCTTGATGGTAAGTTGTTACAACAGAAGAAGTGATAAATGGCTGCTGAACGGAGAGATTTTATAAAAGTGGAGGTCACCACACATCTCAGCATGTGCCCGGTCATTCACGTGGAGTGGTTGTCCAACGTCGTCCTAGCTCTGAAGGGCCCGACCTTGCGCATGTGTGTGGATTACTCCACCCTGAATATGGTCTGCCCAATGGATCCATACCAAGTGCCCAGAATAGATCTTCTGGTGGATGAGACCGCCAAATGCGAGCTGCTCAGCTTCATGGACGCATTCTGGGGCTACATCATTATTATATTGTGATGCTTTTGTGGCATTGTAGTAAAGCGGACTCTAACCTTTTAGTTTTTTTCCTGAGTATCATGTCTCTCAGGAATGACAAAGAGGTTTCTTAATTTAATCTTAGTCACGGGCTATCGCTAATCGGTGGAAGCTTTTTCAATATAAAAGGGTGGTTGTGTTCTAAACTATGGATGGCGTCTAAAGCAAATTTAATGCTGAAATTGAATTATGGCAATTTGCAACAAATAAAATTACAACTCGAAGCAATGCTGAAGTTAAAAGATTAATGATTTAAGATCGAACGTTCAAAACATTGATGTAAATAAGGGCAATGAACTGATTAATTCGGAAATGGATGTATTCTTGGACCTAGTAATTGGGGGCATTGAAAACTAAAATTGGACTAATAATCTCTTTCCTCATAGACAAGAATATAAACTATTTTAATTCATTTATTGTATTTCTAGGTTTCTTTAATGTGTTCAAAATGGATGGCTTGAATTAAATTCTAGTCTCATAGACAAGATATAAATAATTGTCCAATATTTTAATTAATAAGAATAGCTAAACTCATTAATTAATTAAACTCATTCACTACTAGAAAAGTATCTTACAGTGACACTTGTTTAGTGTCATGCCCCGGACCTAGCCAGACACGTCAACAACCCGCTGTACAGTACGAATAGTCAACCGCAGTCCAACTCATCCATACTATACAAGGCGTCAT